CCAGGGTTGGGGGCCCCTTTGTGCACAGGCATCTCTGAGTCATCGAGTCTTACCCTGTATGGGCTCAGGACACATTTGTTAAGTGAAAGAGTGGATGGGAGAGTGGACGAGACCTGGGGGGAGAAAGGGGAGGCCATGGAAGGAAAGGGGAGAGAAATCAAGTAGAATATAAAAGCTTATAGTACTAAAAAGCGACAGTCCCCTGCCCCCCACCCTCTCCTGCAGCACTGTTCCTTCCAACCCTTGGCTGTGTCTTCTGGTAGTTACCTCCATCCCGCTCAGCAGTACATATCTGCTGCTGTTTCCTGACTGCGCCTGTTTGCAGTGCTCACTGATGTCCTGCTTCGGTGGGTGAGGATTCAGCTCACTTACCCCACACCCAACCCCCTCCCCGCTTTTCCTAGTTGACGGGTATTGCTATTTTTAGCTCTCCTATCTATGGATTGCCCAACTAACCTATTTCTGGTTCTACCAAATATTGGCAGTATCTCTTGATCCTGTACTTTGTAAGCAGAGGCTGTTAAAATTACCCCTACTTTTTAGTTCCAGCCACTGGCTTCAGTCATGCACGAGTTTATCTTTAAAATGTCAAGGCTGACAACAGGTACATTCTACTTGTAACCACAGCAAGTCCTTTTTGGGTTTTCTCTATCGGTTGACTCTAATATTTGAAGATCAGACCATAGCGATTCCATCTCCTTTCTTGTACATTCCTCGCCCCCCCTTTTTTTCTGGAGAGTCTTTCTGGAGGCTTTCCTCTCGTGAACTCTTGTCTCTGTTATGCCCTGTTGATTTTTTTCCTGACTCTCTATCAACCAGGCATCCCCGCAGCGTTTCCTTTCATCCTTTTGCTCCAACCTGGATAGGCTGCCCTCCTGATGGGTCACACGTCTGTCGTTGTCCTGGCCCTTCCTTCTCTGTCTCCTTAGGTCTCACCTTGGCTTAGAACCCATAGCTGCTTCCTTCTTGGTTTACGCCTTCGTTTTTCTTCCACCCATCTTCAAGTCCATCCCCCCAAAATGATGAGTGGGAAGTAACGTTTTGAGTCGTAACGTTTTGAGTCCTTCTGTGTCTAAATGACTTAATTCTTCCCTTACACTTGATTGTTGGTTTGGTGGGGTCGATATTTTAGGTGAAAGTCATTTTCCCCCAGAATACTGAAGACCTTCTCTACCCCCTTCTAGGAATCGAGGACC